TCGCGTCCTCCGAGTAAATCGCCAGAAGCGCAGACACATCCTCATCACTCCACCGCTCCAATTGATTTATTTAGTGTTGCTATAATAACTGCTTTCACAAAAGGAATCTCTTCGGGTGTGCTGCGAAGCGAGGAAATACAATGGCCGCTTACAACAAAAAATTCAGAGTCAAACGGGCGTGGTTTGCATTCCGCACAGCCAATCAGACGTACGAACTACTTTCTCCCACGACAGGCCCTGCTCTCTAGCAGGGCCTGAAAAGCGGGTCTGAAGAACTAAGTTGAGCTACTTTAGTTCCTGGGGCTTTTTGGTGTGAACGCAAATATATCGTAGTTCTGATGAACTATTGTGGGAAAAGTACACCAAAGTACTCCGGTGTGAACGCAGGTCAAACTATTTAGGATAATACAAGGAACAATGTTTAGGCAGTAAATAGAATTTCAATTACATTTCTACTTAAATGTGCAAAAATATTAGAACATCAGTCTTTGTGGCATGCAGGTAATCAACTGTTTAAGCTTTTACCATTAACATGTAGAATGAATGTTTCAAATTACTTGAAATTATAGCAACTACAATCTATTGTTTACCTCTATGCATTCAGTGTAGCCACAGAGGTCCAGCTAGCATGCTAATTGCTAACGTTATATTATCGTTTTATCCCGGAGGGGAAAACTAGTTTCTAATCCTGAGAGAAACACCTCGCCTGAAACACACGATTAGTGCCATGAGTTAGTGAAGCAAATTACAGAACATTGCACACTTATTCACAAGTCAATACGTGTTCATAGCGGGCACGGCTGAGAATAGCTAGCTAGCTAGATGTTGTTAGCCAGCTTGGACCTAACGTTAGCAAGTTCTAGCATGGCTAGCTCGATCTACTGAGCAAATAAAAGTACATCTAAGACCAGTATTGTGCAGATTAAAACAGTGCAGTGCATGTATTTTATTTTACCTTCGTAGTCGTCACGACATGACTTTGCCAGGTCTGCTAACTTTGCTGATCCACTGAAACTGCATGCAGTAGAAGCTTCTGAATGCCGCACTTCGCGTCCTCCGAGTAAATCGCCAGAAGCGCCGAGACATCCTCATCAATTCCACCGCTCCGATGATTTATTTAGTGTTGCTATAATAACTGCTTTCACAAAAGTAATCTCTTCGGGTAAACGAGCAAATACAATGGCCGCTTCCAAAAAAAAAATCAGAGTCAAACGGGCGTGGTTTGCATTCCGCACAGCCAATCAGACGTACGAACTATTTTCTCCCACAACAGACCCTGCTCTGTAGCAGGGACTGAAAAGCGGGTCGGACGAACTCATTTGAGCTACTTTAGTTCCTGGGGCTTTTTGGTGTGAACGCAAATATATCGTAGTTCTGATGAACTATTGTGGGAAAAGTACACCAAAGTACTCCGGTGTGAACGCACCTATTGGTTCCGTTCATATTTAGCTTAAATGTGTTTAGCTAGTTGGACGGGAGAAAGGCGTCTAACAAGTAACATGTAAAAAGGTATCCCACACGTTCAGTATCAAGAGAAATTGGCTGCTATGTCTAGACTAAACATGGGACTTTGCCCTGCTTTTGTTATGGCCGTCCTTAATAAAGGACACTGACTGTGCTCTAAACAAAGTGCATTTATTTGCCATCTAATCTAGAATTTTAATGAGACATCACTTCCCTATGTGTCCTTTGGGCTACATAGACAGCGCTGGGTCTTGCTTACCCTGTATACATTTAAAGACAGGGTAAAGTTTGGTTTGTCCACTTGTCTCTTTCTATCCAGCACATTGGCACTCTATCTTATAACCTAACATCTAGATTTCCATCTGCTTTCCTGTGATACCGGTCCCTAAATGTTTAGACTAAAAGGAACATTTGTTCATCAAAAATATATTTTTGTATATTATCATTCTTGTGCATATATTCATGGGCGTGAGACCTGTGCTCACTCATTGGCGGGTGAAGTATGGTAGCAAAAAAGTATTTCCTACTTAAAACTTCTCACAACACAAACTGATTATTTTGAGTAGTTGGATAGTGTGCCATTTAGCTCCTATATATTAAAGAGAAGGTATGGACATTTATATGGCCGATATAAACCATCTATATTCCTAAACAGTACAACACATAATATGAGAACTATTGCTATCCTGCAGTCACCATCTCTTTTGCAGACCTGGATCCTCAGGGACCAAAATGCCCCAAAATTGTGAGTTGTTTTGGAAAAATATTCAGGAACATTTTGATTTTAACCAAATAACCACAAACAAGGGGCAAAGGGGGCCCACTGCTAGAATACACTTTGGCCCTTGATGGGATTAATGCGGCAGCGGCCCTGACTGTTAATATGTTGTTTACACAGAAAACAATTGAATTCAGCAGCTCAACTCTGTTTCACTTACCTTGTGAAAGGTTGATTGAAAAACTGTTCAACTACTTGTCCTGCAAATCTATATGAATAGTATACTTTTAATATATTACTTATGTCTTGAATTGAGTAGGATGAGGCAGGTGAAGTTCATCATTAGCTGAGACAGAAGTCAAATATTAACTATTATTGTAAGAGAGTAACTTTTACACATTTATTTTAACATCCTCGGAGAACTGTTTATGTAAAATGGGCCTGGCATGGGAGTCTGCTTTGTGTGTGCCTCATAACATCTTCCTACTACAGAAATGATCTCTGTGCAGTGGTTTCAACCACTTGATGGCAGTATACTCCACCATATTGAAAGTTCAACCCTCATCCAAAACTTGTCATGGAAAATCTAGCAGCTGCTGGGCTGTGTGACTTTTCACTATGGAGGGTTGCTTTGTGGAAATTAGAAAGGATTTAGTTGTGCAGTCAAAGTATTGTTGATAGGTGGCTGCTGATGCTGTCTCTACATTAACAATATATCACGTTTTTTGGAGCCCAAAGTGTTCAAGAAACCAGAGGGAGGCCACTTCATTAAAACCAACAGGATTCAGTCAGTCAATGCAGTTCTGATACTGATTCTGAATCGGGAGATTCCTTACAAAATTTGCTGTATTATTTGCTGCCAGATCTTACTTCCTTTTTTGCCTCATACAACAAGAAAACATAATAATTTATACACATGTGAATTTATGTATTTGGATTTTTAGGCAGTTTAAATGTGAAAAATATCTTCTGGAAGCATGGATTTCTCATTTGGTTTTCAATTGTAATACCATAGTTGTATCTCATTCCTACTAAATTGCTTTTAGGCTATATGGTATTTAGAAAGTACTGTGCCCTAAATAAAGGTTTTGAAACCCATAGTGCACTTTAACACAAACAAATAAACACTGAAGTTAAAGATATTAAACATTAAAACAATCTCTCTTGCATTAAAGACACAAATAGTGCTTCACAGAGCATTTTTTTTTCATAAGGAGCTACCCCTGCAAATCCTCCATCTGAATATGTGAGTCATGAGAGATGCTGCATTTAAGGCCTGACCAAAGCCATGTAGACCAAGAGGAAGAGCAGCAGCCGCCCCAGTCTGTGTTTGTGTGACGAGGCAGCTCTCTGCGAGTCTGATCTGTTTACCGACCTCTAAAAATACCAAATTGTTGCATTTCCAGAGACGCGGGCGCTGTCGTTCCATTTGTTTATATGGCGTCTTCAGATTCTGGCAGCACTGGATGTCCACATAGGAAGGAGCGACCTCAGGATGCAACAACTCTCAGCTGTTTTACACAGGCTGGAGGGGACTGTCAAACATGCAATATGTCCCAAGTATTCAATCTAAGAATTATCACATTTTATAAGAAGGGGTGTCCCTCTTTTAGATGGAAATGTAGCTTTTAAAGCACGTTTATCTTTGAGCCACACACTTTATATAATCAATCTACAGAAGTTGTTATGATGATCAGCCTCAGGGTTGCTTAGCCTTTTATATAAGAAAAGATAAGATAAGATGTACTTTATTGATCCCAATTTGGAAAATGTTTGCGTTGCATCAGTATAAAAGACAGATATTGCTTTGTGCTATGTGTTTTAATGTCTTCTTATCAACAGTGGTGGAAAGTGATAGTTGATATTCATAGTTCTAGATTAAATTACCCAACAGGATATACATTAAATCCACTTTGACCATATTAAACCTTGAAAATCCGTTAATAAATGAGTAAGCAATTCTGTGTAGTTTAACTGTTCATCTTATAAATACAATTTGCTTTAAATACTTACGATAGATTTAAAATGTGGGTCTTTTATTTGGAATGCAGATACAGTAAAGATGGATCAAACTTATTGAATATACTGGCATTTTGAGTTACATATATAAACAATCTGAATCTGAATACTTCTTCTGCCGCTTGCACATCCCCATTATCGTCAGTTGCACACCAAAATAGGAACTATAAGAATAAGAGATATATACATTTTAAATAATTCTGAATATGTACATTATCAATTTAGTGATAAAAGCTTATTTTTACTGAAAACTTCAAAATAGCCATTTCTAAGGCAGTAATATGTGCAATGTTGCACATTATTTATACTTTGGGGACCTTGTTTTTAAATGTCAGTAATTTTACCGGATAATACTCATTCAAAACCTGAGAGGTGTGATAACTAATACAATGATATAAAATACTGCATAATTTGTAAATATAAATAAAGGCCTGCATTATCGTTATTTGAGTACAGAAGTATTAACAGCAATAAAGTACTCTTTTATGCAGAATTCCCTGCTATTTTTGATAGTATTATGATTTAATGATAGCTGCTCTACTATTGAAGCTTTTGTCATGCTTAAAATATTATAAATGATCTCAGATTTTAAACATTATTATGCAAATTATCTTCACGAATTAACTGCCTAAAGCAGCAGAACATGGAAATACTCTGTTGAAGTGCAAATATACAGCGAGAAAGCAATATTTAATATGGAATTAAAAGTTTGTGCCTTATGCAAGCTCAATTATAACTCCCCTAATGCAAAGTATAAACACCTCCTCTACATGAATGTTCATGGAAAGACAATGTAGCCTAAAATATATATCAGCTTTATTGAAACCTTTTACAGGACAGAAAGTTGGCAAAGGGTTATACAATAAGTGCAAGGCTTGTTTGCAGTTCATGTTAGCCTAAAGCGTCGTGTGTGTACTCTAATAGGATAGAACATAGTTACATAGAATATAAAGTTTGCACGTGGTACAAGAGCAAACACATTAAAAAAGTTTCTGAAGCTTCTTTTGAAGAAGAAAGCGCTTGTCAGGGTTCATATTGGCAGAGTGGTTTATCATTTTTATTTTTTTATTTTTAAAGGCCACTGTGGGTTTCTTCATTCATTTCCTTCAATTGCATAGTTTTCTCAAGTCCAACCAAGAAAGCTACTTTGGCTGCACGCAAAGTGTGAGTGCGGACGCCACGATACATCCTCCGTATGTCCAAAAAAATAAGAACAAATGGAAAAAAAAATGTCCTCTTGCAGGAGAGCTCACATCACGCAGGGCTTGATGTCCTGACAGACGCTCTGGGGGTGGTGGTGGTGGTGATGGTGGTAATAGGATCCTCCAGCAGAAGGGTGGAAGGAGGAGATGCCGTTAAAGTTTAACACAAAATCTTTCCTGTCGCACACAGAGGAGTGGCTCTGATAGCGCGGGATCCCCACTGCAGGCAGAGAGGAGCAAGTTAATACAGGTGAACACATTCATATTCATCATAAAGTCTTATGGAGCATCCTAAACCGAGTGCTGCATCAAATCACTGTGTGTGTGAGGCCAATGTGAAATATCTTCAAAATAAAATAAACGGTTAGAATAAACACAAATAACTTTATTGTGTGAGCTAACATAAAGTAAATTGAGGATGCACAAGGCCTTATTTTATAGTAAAAATATTGTTTAAGCGATATTTATCCCTTCCTATAACAAGTTGGATAAACAGCTCTTAAAATTGGTTAATTCTTAACATTTTAGAAGAAATAACTTAATTTGTCATGATATATTTGGGGGGAATTTGCCTTAAAGCGCCTCACCAATACTTTCCAAAACATATGTATTTGAAAAGGCACCTCGTTTTTTATTGAGCGATTTTAAAATAATCTATTTGTGCTTTTATTTTTTCATTTATAACAATGTACGAGTTTCTTTCCTCCCTGGAGAGCCCCTAACCTGCATGCTTATTTAAATCTGACTCAGTGACCGTCATTTTGTGTAAGTGAGCCTCTATTTCCAGAAAGAGAAAAATAAATGGGAATGTCTGTGGCTTCAAGGTCATACGGACTCCAGATGTGACTGTGTTTTTCAGGGGAAGACAGCAGGCTTTATCCTCCGGGCCACAGCTCTCTGGCCGTTTCACAGACATCACACTGACATGCAGTGACCGAGCTGCTCTGCGCACTGCAACACATTTCTCCTCCTCAATTAGGACGCTGCGTAAAGTTTAACAAGGCCTTCCGTCTCTTGTGGATACGCGCTGGGTGAAATCCTCCGCCGGTGTGGTCCGACCTGCTCAGTCTTTGTTTGGTTAACCTCTGGGACCCTTTCGGGCTCCAGCATGGCCTGCTCGCCTCGGTGAAATCCCCAGACTTTAGTAAAGTCTCGGTGTGTTGTGTTAAAGCCAATGAGTGTGAACTGGGGAAGGGAATTAAGAACGCGATCGCTAAATAGCTGTTTATCCTAATCTATTTATTAGGAAACATGCCCCGTGAACACTTGTACAGATGTGAGCCAGATAATCCCACACACTGTGGATTAAATAGACTTCAACATTTTCCATTAGAATATTAATGATTTATTGGCCTCAAATACATTTAGGAACTAAGGTTGTTATGGACCAATCATGGCCTTTTTGGTTGTCATTATTCTTTACATTTTCAATGCGTCTTTATTAGTAAATAAAATAAGTTTAACAATCGTTAAATGTGTCGGCCACATATGTTGGAAGTAAACACTCATCCGAAAATACTTTAGCAGAAATTGCAATTTAACTAAATAAATCAAACTATTAGGAAGTGATTACATATTTATTTATATTGCACGAATATGTAAACTTCAATATTTAATTATTAAATATTATTTTTCCTTTTAAATACACACAAACTCCTTATATAAGTATGAGTAGGCCTAATATTTATAAAGGAACTTATTTTGAATGTTGAGTTTAAACTTCTTGCAAGCATTTACATTTCTCACAGGCCTCTGTTGCCAGATTATCCGGACATTTAAAAAATAAAATAAAAAGATTTTATTTTTTAATGATAACCCCCAAACATGCCAGTATCCTCATTAGTCAGTGCTGTACCTGATATGTCGCTGCTGTGGCTGTCCCTGCCGTTCTGGTGAAGGTAGCTCTGCTCCAGGGAGTAAGGCGACATGCCGGAGTGTAAACCGGACGATGCGGGGCTGTTGGAGCTGAGAGGCTGCTGTTTGATGTAGGGAGACCCGCCGGAGGACGCCCAGTGTGCGGAGGAATTGGCGTACGGGGAGTGTCCGTCCAGCGCGCTGGCCATGGCCGGAGAGGAAGGCACGGGGCTGCTGCTGCTGTCCTGTCCGTACTCTCCGTTAGACGGCACGGGACAGCTCGCCATGTACGTGGATCCGGGGCTGGGGGACATGTGGGGTACGTGGTGGCCGCTGCTCAGCCCGTCGTACCCCCCGGCCATTGAATTGCTCATCATGTCCAAGTTGTAGCCGTTGCTGTGACAGGCGAGAGAGGCGGATGGAGCTTGAAAGTCAAAACTCTGCGGGAGGATGGAGGTTCCGAAGCCAATTCCGTTCATCATCCGATACATGGGCTTCAGAGCCTGACATTTTCTTCTGAAGCCTCGGGGTCTGCGTCGAAACGAGCCCTCCTCGAACATGAACTCGCTGCCTGGGTCGATGGTCCAGTAGTGGCCCTTCCCCGGCCTGCCCAGCCCTTTGGGCAGCTTGATGAAGCACTCGTTCAGGGACAGATTATGCCGCACCGAGTTCTTCCAGCCCTGATATGAGCCCCTGAAGAATGGGAAGCGAGCTTGCAGGAACTGGTAGATCTCACTGAGTGTCAGTCTCTTGGTGGGGGAGCTCTGTATTGCCATAACGATGAGAGCGATGTAGGAGTACGGCGGCTTCTCCGGTCGCCTTAAGCCGGAGGTCGTCTTCTTTCCTTTAATGCTGGAAGAACTCTCTGTGGCGGCTTGTGGGCTCAGCATGTCCGGGTGCAGGACTCCGGACGCCGGGCTGGATCTTAGAGGAGGCGGAGGGTCCAGCTGCTGCTGAGGGGTCTCGGTCGTCATGTCAGCTCTGACGTGCGACTGGCGTATAGTATAGCGAGGGAGGGAGAGAAGACGGGCCGTGAGATGTTTGAAAAGAGGAAAATATAACGAAATCCAGCGGCCAGTGTCCCTGCGTGAGAGCGTTACACCGCCAGTGGTCCTCAGAATCCCAGAGCAAAATGGAGTGAAATCTGTCTCCAGTTACGCACGACTCTCCCCCGTTACGCACGGTGCTCCCTTGACGCATGCAGAACGCACGCACTGACAGAGAGGAAGAGGAAGGGAGAGTGGGGGGAGCTGGTTATCCACTGGAGACTCGCTGTCCAGGGCTCGGAGCTCCACTGGGTGTCACAGCGGCGCTAAGTGGTGCTGTGTGGCGCGCCGGGTGGCCATCGAGCGCCTGAATAATCCCTCAAGTGGAGGAAACACGAAAACCCTTCGATTTATTGCGCGCAACGGTCCAGCCAAACAAAGCTCGACCACCTATCAGTTCATAAATCTTTCGTCCCTCTTCAAGAGCCCCCCCCCCCCCTCTTCTTCTTATCCGCACTCTGCGACTGCAAAACTAACTGAAATCAGTGACGAATAGAACCACCCCCCCTCCACCCTCTCGCCAAATTTGGCCCAAGTCCACTTACCGTCTCAGCAGCGTTAAAGCCCCCTCTTTCTCTACTCTCGTCTTCTTTCCTCCCCCTCCCACCCACTCTCTCTTCAAATTCGGACTACACGCAATTAAGCCATCTATCAAACCTCCCCCAGACATCCTAATCAACAGCGCCACACGCCAGACGTACAAGGTAAAAAACGAGCATGCCCCCCCCCCCCCCCCCCCCTCGGTCCTTCACGTATGAAGTTGTGATTTCAGCCACAGATCAAATATTTTCCTGACACGAATACACCAATATGTGCAGAAAAAGTCCAGCTTGCAATTGAAACCACGATGAGACAAAACATTCGCTTGGGGCCTTTACACGCTATCTGCGGCCGATGATTCCCAAACGCATCGCTGCGAAGCAATAAAAAACGCACCCTCGTGTATTATTTGTATTATTTTGCTCATCATTTCCTCCCAAACGAGTCCAGAGCATAACAAAAACAAACTGTCGCGGTGCCGTGCTGGGACGAAGGAGTGTGAGAGATGGAGAGGTGGTGGTCTTTACCGTGCGTGTGTAAGCGGGGGGTTGCTCTGAGTAAATGACTTTGACATGAGTGGAAGCAGGCTTTTTCCATCAAGCCCGGCCCTGGATACCACACACAGCGCGCCAGTGTCAGCTTACCGCCCCGGGCCAGAGCCTGTCCCATGGGCCCCGCGTTCATTAGAGAGAGAAAAGCGAAATTAGGCGAGCGGGCGTCGACAGTTTCCTCCCCTATGGAGACATCACACACAGATTTGTCCAACATGATGGAGTTATATATCCCATAAAGGTAATATCAACATCCGTGCTGCTGCGACGGAGATCATTGAAGGAAGAAAAAAAAGTGGCTGTCGCAGAGCTTTTTGGATAGGTTGTGCATGCTTGTCTTTATATTTTTTAGGTTTAATTTAAGGTACATTTAATTGCGTCTTTTTTTGTCCTGCAGGCTCACGATGATAATGTTTGCATGAGATTAAATATTTACCATCAGTGGAGAAAAAAGCTCCACATTCCTACGTTACGTCCTAAATATGTGTGCACGTGATTGCGGAATCAATCTCTTTAAGTTTAGATATAGCCTCGAGAGTTTCCTAAACAATAAGCAGCAACAATGATAACCTTTTGCACTTTGCACAACAAAGGACGTGCGGATAAAATCATTTTCCTCTATGACACACAGAGCAGCTTAACGGCCCCAGAAATTTCCGGCGACATCAAAACTTATGACCCCCGCCGAGATCAGGATGCCCCTGCTCGCAGAGGGAATCTTTGTTCTGGGAGCGCTTTGAAGACGGCTGCTTTTACGCACGGAGATTATATGAGTTCCTAATTTAGCTTTTTGGAAATATCGAGTGATCATCGGCCTCCACGAGAGCTATTCAGAGGTGTTTTAGAGGAGGTTTGCCTTTGGAGTCCCGATTAGAGGCCTAAAGCCGACACAATAAGGCCTTATGTTTGTTTTCATGTTTAGGCTGAAATATATTGTTAATCCCTCATTAAATATTAGATAGATTGGATTTTGTAGGAATGTTTGACGGGCAGTTTGACCTCAGGTAACCTGTTTTAGAACACTTTTGGGAATTTAATACAATTATACACTACATTTAAATGTATTACATTATATAAATTAAATTCTAGGGACCCTCTATTTCTCATTAAAAAGAGAAAAATATACTAATATTTTGAAGTTTTTCCCAAATAATATACAAAAACAAGTTTCATATAATAATAATTAGGCCTTTCTTAAATGCCCCATGATTTGTATCGTTTTTATACTATACAGGCCTGTAACACACATCATTAACAAAACAACAACAAACACCGAGTTCAGCTCTTTTTGAATGGTTATTTAATATTGTTTCGGCTTCTCCTGTGCTTCCTATGGCGGGGCAGTGAGCTTTGGAGCTGCCTCTCCGGGACTGTGAGGTCAGGCGCGGTTCAGTCTGCCGGAGTGACACACTGTTTGGACTTCCTAACATTGTGCCTGCCTTTAAGCTTGGTTTCATAACACTGTGGGCCTTTTTCATACAAGCAGCCATACAGGCCTGAGTTTCTGCTCAGGCAGCGTGGTGTTAAGTTCGAGACAAGTTAAAAATATAAATGCAGAGAAAGGCTGTTTATGAATGCGCGTCATGATCCAAGTTAATATTGGGATAGTCCAGCAGACAGGTGTGCTGTTCCGGTGTTTCACCTGCAGGTTGCAGCATTGTCCCTTAAACAGGAGCAGCTCTCACCTGTCACCTGTCAGCCTGCCGAGCACAACTTCCGGTTTAAAGCCTCATCATGCACGCGTGTAGCCATCAGGAGGGGCCCGAGACGCAGAGAACAGGCCTGAGCAGTGTCAGTGAGTGTGTTATCAGAACATAATGTTCAGATGACTGCAGATTAAAACATAGGCCTACAGGATATCTAAGTTTGGAAATGTGCAGATTCATTTTGTATCAGCCCCCTGCAACTCCAACATTAAAATAAACATTATACTGAAATTATGTAATTTATAGGCCTAATGTATTCATGGAGAATATTTTATTTTGAATACTAATGAAATGTCGCTTTCATTACATCTGAAAGAATATCTATTTTGTCATTTGTATCAGTCTTAGAGCAGGTTACTCTTTTTATTTGGTCTTTTTATGGTATATTTTATGGAGGCGTGTGGCGCAGTGGACTAGTGCGTTGGTGTTCGGATCAGGGGAGCACAGGTTCAAACCCCACTGCAGTCAGCATGTCGTTGTGTCCCTGCGCAAGACACTTCCCCCCAAATTGCTCCTGTGGGGATTGGCCACAGTATTGAGTATGTAAGTCGCTTTGGATAAAAGCGTCTAACAAGTAACATGTAATGTAATGTAATATTATTCTTGTTTAATTATTATTCTTGTTACATGAATATCATAAAGTAAGCATAAATATTTTTCAGGAGCGCTTTTTTGGTTCGATGATATATGCCTAGGTGCACTCCAGAAAAATCTGAGGTAGTTCAATAAAAGAACAAAGATAAGAAATTATTGAAGTCAAAAAGTGCTCTCTTTTCTAAATATAGATTTCAAAAAGGTTGTTTTTAATCGTGTTTTTTAAAGGACAGATGTCTTTGAGATTGAACAAAAACAATGTCTCGTCTCATGGAGCAGCTGGTGGGTCTGGGGTCAGTTTCAGGACCGTGGAGAGCAACAACTGCAGGACAGTGTGCGTAAAAAAACATTATATTGCGTGTGCATGAAAATCTGAACACAAGACCTGCTAAAAATATAATCAAAATAATATTTATGTTTTGATGATTTAAAAGAAAATACGTTTTATGTATTTTATTTTTGTCTTACATTTTACACGTTTTACGTTGCATCTCTTTGTCCTTTTATGGGAGATCCTCTTATGCATTGATCTCGACGTATACTGATTACATGCATCGACATTGTTAAAATATGTTTTAGTAAACAATGCGTAACCCATATTAAATCACATGAAAGTATGACAAAAACGGCAGAAGTATTTTCTCTATTTGCTTTTATTTTTGAGAAGGTCATTTTTATATTCAACTATAAACACTTTTAAAACTGGGAACCCTTTTTGTGCCAGATTAAATAAACAGAGCCTTATAAAAACAAATCATTATTTTATTTATTTTATTATATAAGACTTTAGGTAAAAACGTTTCACTGCAACACTAATGTCTTGTTGGCTGTGGGCTTAACCACAATAAAACATACCATAATAATTCTAACAATAGTGTTTCTTATGTTAACTCTTCATTACGTTTTTATCTGTGTTTGTTTGCTGTGATATCTGCCTTGATTTCAACATTTTAATATAATTTGCTTTTTATTCTCTAATTTTATTTTAATAAACTGTTCACTTGCCAAAAAACAGTCCTGGAATCAAAGTAAAAGACAATATAATTGTTTTGTTTGATTTTTTAGTTTTGACTTTGATGAGTATGATTCGGGAGGTAATTACCAATAGATTGTAACACCAATAATCCCGTTATTTTCTGCCTTTTCAATGAACTCCACCGCAGGCCTTTCTCCTGTTGAACAGGTGTAACCCCCCCCTTTTCCCTCTGTACACGTGCCTCTGATCTTTCCCTTTCATCTCTGTAATGAAGAACTCATTGAACATCAGGGTCCCATTGTCTCACGTTTTTATTCATAAAAATAACCAGACATGCATGAATCATTAGGAAAAACATCAGGCATTTCCATGCGTTTCTAGTGCAGCCACGTGACTCTCATCGCAGCTCAGTCAATTTTTTTAATATATATACAACAATATTTTACACAGCAGTTCATACAAAACGTGAAAATATAAATAGATGAACAGTTGTACGTTTCACCATGGCGCTTGTTTGCCGTCATACAGTGGAAATGACTAAAGAACCATGGACACAAGAAGACACACACTCTTTAAACAACACACACACAAACTCTGACACACACACACACATACAAACGCAGTGGAATGTCCTGCGATGACAGCAACTATTAGGGCAGTCACCACAATCCGTTATATTAACAACATGTTTGTTTCCCTCACTGCAGAATGACTTACAGTAGGCTACAGACACACTCTCAAACAGTTAAACAGCTAAAGCACTGAAAGTTACGAGCGCCCACAAAGTGCACATCATGGATCAACACATAGAGTCTGACAGCAGTCCTCGTGCTTTATGAGAGCAGGGAGTCTATTTGGAAACCTCGCGCCTTGTTGGGCATCCTGAGCGCGTGCAGAGCGGCCTCAGGTGGTGTGTGCTGGAGGTATGTGAGTGCATCCCTGCCTGGCTCCGTGCTGCTGTACGCCCCCTCTGACAGGTACTGTGCCGGGTAGCTCAGAGTGTAAGGCAGTATGTGGGCCCCTGGGGACCAGTAGAGCCGGTGGGCGTGGGTCTG